CGGGGGGAATTCCCGCCAGCCCGGCCCTGCGAGCCTTCCCGCGCCCCGAGACCCCGGCGCGGCGCGCTCCGCCCACCCAGCCTGTGGGGCGGAGTGCCCGGACTCTCGCTGGAGGCCTCCTGCTTGCCGGGACTTCCCCGACGCCGACGCCTGGGGGAGCTCCGTGCGCAAAGGCGAGGGAGTACGCGGCGCGAGGCCGCGTGGGCCCGGCATGCACTGCGCGGCGCGGGGCCGCGTGGGCCCGGCATGCACTGCGCGGCACCGCTGCCTGGGCCCGGCGTGCATTGCGTGGCATTGCGGCCTGGGCCCGGCGTGCATTGCGCGGCACCGCGGCCTGGCTGCTGCCCTTCGCCTCTGCGTGACCTTCTAGGGTTCAACCTTCGGAGCTTGGTTTGGGAGCCAGGAGGATGAGCAGCAGTGTCTTAAGTCGTGGGGCTGCTGGGTTGACTGGGAGAAATTTGTGTATCTGATCCTTGTGCGGTTGGTAGTTTCAGACACACAGTCACTGGGAGTTTGCAGCCTATAAAACATGTCTCTGCCTAAGATGCTAAATAGCTAATAAAATCCCCTAAGCCGGGTGGAGAAAACTGGAACAGCACTGATGAATTAGGGGAGAAAACAGCCAGTGTTGAGTAGTATTCCTTCACACTATCCAGGGAACTTGCTCAAAGAAGCCGGTTCTGACCCAAAATTTGTTGGACCCCTTAGGATTTGTCATTAATGCCTAAATGGCATTGGTACTTCTTGGGATAGAGCTAAAGTCCAGACATTTAGGATCGCCATTGACATTTTGGCCTCATTTACAAATGGGTGGAAATAGAAGATTAATTGTAAAAGGAAATGGTTATTTCCAGACCATAGGGCTACTGCACCTCGAGGTCAGAAATACGCTGATTTTGCTCAGAAATAGTCTGCATGGCTTTTACCTGCCTCAAGAAGGTGAGAGCCATCAGAGTTACAGGTATTCCAGGTCAGATGTGTAACATTATTGAGATGACTGGATATGAACATAAGGTAGAATAGTAGAGTAATCATCAAATAGAGTGGAAGATTTTAGCTAAAAGTTGAAGAGCATTCTAGGAGTTTTTAAAATTTAAAGTTAAAATTTAAAATATCTTCAAAGACAATTTGTATAAGAACCTTGAGCTTGCAATCTAAAAGTTTTTCTCTTTTTATTTTATATATATATATATATATATATGGTATTGGAATTAAATCTTTGAAAACACTTACTGGTACACATTTGCAGTGTACTAATCATTAGTACACAATGATTACATAGTTGTACATTTTGTGGAGGACGTTGAGGCATTTCAACACATGTATACAGTGTATAGTGATAAGGTCAAAATAATTGGCTTATCTGTCACCTTAGATACCATTTTCTTTGTGTTGGGAGCACTCAAAATCCTCTCAGCTTAAGTGTTCAGTTAATTATTGTCAACCATACTTGTCCTAATGTGCTTAGAACATTGGAAATTATTCCTCCCATCCACTATACCACTGTACTCGCTAAACATCTTCTCTTCAGCCTTCTCTCATTCCCTTTCCAGGTTCTGGTAACCATAATTCTGTTCTTTACTTCTTTGAGATCAACTTAAGCTTCCACATGCAGTGCAAGAATGTGTGAACTTTGTCCTTCTGTGTGTAACATTTCACTCAGTGTCCTGTAGTTCCATCCATGTTGCTGTAAAATGACAGAATTCCATTCTTTTTTGTGGCTAAATAGTAATCTACCACTTATATATACCATAGTTTGTCCATTCACCGGCCAAAGGGCACCTAGTTGATTCTGTACTTTGGTCATTGTGAACCATTCTGCAGTAAGAATTAGAGTGCAGATATCCCTTCAGCATACTGATGTCATTTCTTTTGGATACACACCCAGTAGTGGAATTGTTGGATTATATGATAGTTCTATTTCTGGGTCTTAAAGGAGCCTCTGTACTGTTTTTCATAATGATTGTAGTAATGTATATTCCTATCAACAGTGTATGACAGTTCCCCTTTCTCTGCATCCCTACTTGCATTTTTTTTTTTTTTTTTTTTTTTTTTAATGCTAAGGATTGACAGGGCTTTTTGATCATTCTGTTATGGTTTGTGTCTGGATGTCCCCTTAAAGTTTCGTGCAGTTGTGGGGGTGTGCTTTTTGGAGGCAGCTGAGTCTAGTTTGTGTTGATTCTTTGTCCAGTGTTGGGAATTACGGGTGTGAGTGCTGCACCCACCCTGGGGCCAGCAGTCCGCATACAAGATGAGGGACAGAAAGCGTCATCTCTCCTGTTCCTCCTCTTTTGCTCTTGTTGCTTCTGCTGTCTTCAAAATGAAATATTTAGAAATTAGATAGCAGCAATGGTTGTTTCACCTTGCAACTATATATTTAAAAAACAAAACCACGGAGTTGTGTGAAGTAAAATGATTAATGTCTTGGTAAATTATATCTCAATTTTTAAAAAGTGTTTAAACATTATTAATACGTAAGAAAATTCATGAACCTTTTATAGACATGGAAAGAAACTTTTCCTAGGTTCAGTCAACTTTTTGATGATCTAATAATTACTGCTTAAAAATTGCTTGTGATAATCTAGTTTTGTTTCCAATTTTTAATAGGAATATAAAAGCTTACATTTTAGGACTTTCCCAGACAAACCAGTAATAAGATTATAGTAGAGATCTCTTATCCACAAGGGATATGTTCCAAGACTACCAGAAGAGACCAGAAAACCAATGATACTACAGAATTTTCTGTATAGATTGAGCATTCCTAATCCAAAAATCTAAAGTGCTCTAAAATCAGAAACTTCTTGAACAATAACAGGTGGAACATTCTGCATTGGACCTAATGTGACAAGTTACAATTAAAAGGCCAGTGTACCAAAAATATTATAAAAAATTACCTTCAGGCTGTGGGCATCATCTCTACATAAGTGGAAAAATCTAGGAGTAAGTCTTACTGAGAAAGTGAACAATTGCTACAATAAAAAGTATAAAGCAGACAGTGATGAAAGAAATAAAGACACAAAAAAATGGAAAGATATTTCATGTTCATGGTTTGGGAGAACATTGGTAAAATGTCTGTACTCAGAATGAGTCAAAGCAGTTTATATCAAAATACCAATGACATTCTTCACAGAGTTAGAAAAAATATTTTTCACAGAACGAGAAAAAGCCCACAAAACTCATATGGAACCACAAAATACCTCATAGTCAAAGCAAGAGGAGCAAAGCTAAATCTTTACGATATTTGACTTCAAAACACGTTACAAAGCTGTAGTAACCCAGACAGCCATGAAACTGGCATAGAAACAGACCAGTTGAGCAAATGAGTGAATGTAGAAATAAATGTACATATTTACTGATTTTGAACAAAGCCAGAAAGCAAGTATATACATTGGAGAAAGAACAGTCTCTTCAACAGGTATCAGGAAAACTGGGTCCAAATGCAGAAGAAACTAGACAGCTATCTCTCAGTATATACAATGCTCAACTCAAAATGTATAAAGCATTTAAGTTTAAAACCCAAAACTTTAAAACTAGTAAAAGAAAATACAGGGGAAACTTCAGGGTATGGGTCTCAGTGAAGTTTTTTTGTATATGACCCTTAAAGAACAAGCAACAAAAGCAAAAATTAACAAATAAGATTAATCACACTGAAAAGCATCTGTACAGCAAAAAAAAAAAAAAAAAAAAAAACCAGTAAGGAGATGACCTACAGAATGAGAGAAAACACTACGTTTGCAAACTATTCATCCAACAAGGGAGGGGTCAATTTTCAGAATCTATAAGGCACTCAAAAAACTAAACATTAAAATAATCCAAATAAATCAGTTTAAAAGGGGGCAAACATGCCCGCTGTGGTGGCACATGCCTGTAATCGCAGCATCTCAGGAACCTGAGGCAAAGGGATTTCATATTCCATGGCAGCCTGGACAATTTATGAGACCCTGTCTCAAAAAAGAGGGGTGGGGGCTGGAAACGTACCTCAATGTACAAGTCCTAGGTTCAGTCCCAGGAGTTGTCTGGGAAAAGAGGAGGCACATGACCTAAACAGACATTTTCTCAAACATGTACAATTTTTTTTTTTGTACTGGGAATTGAACTCAGAACCTTGCATTTGCCAGACAGGCACTGTACTGCTGAGCTATCTCCCTGGCCCCACATATTTTGAAAATTAAGTTTAAAAAAAATATATAAATGGCAAACAAGTAAAAATGTTCAGCATCACTAATCAAGCAAATTGATATTTTGTTTCCATTAGCAATTATTCCTTATTTTCCTCTCCTCCTCGCCTGTGAACCACTAATTTTTCTGTCTGTATGGGTTACCCTTTTCATATAAATGGAATCATTAAACATGTAGCCATTTGTTTTTTCACTATACTATTTCCTCGGCTTACCTATGCACGAACCAGTTTACATAAAATTGTAAAACATTCACAACATCATTCCTCTTTATGGCTGAGAAATATATTGTGTGGATATACCATATTTAGCCTTTTCATCCACTGATAGACATTTGAGTTGTTTCCAGTTTTTAGGTAGTATGAATAATGCTGCTGTGAATGTTTTACAATTTTATGTGTGCATATATGTTTTCAGTCTTTTGGAACATATACCGAGGAGTAGAATTACTGGTGCTTTTTGAGGTCCTACCAGGCTAATTTCCACAGTGGCCACCCTACATTCTCCCAAACAATGTTTAAAGAGTCTAATTCTCTACGTTGTCATCAACTTTTTTGTTTTATAGGTTGTAGCTCTCTTTCATTTATGCATTTTCTGCCTCAGCCACAAAAGTATTGAGGTGATTTTTATTCAGATTACATAGCATGGGATATTAGTAAAATTACATAATATGGAGTAGTAAAATATCTCTAATAATAGAATCAAAACTAGAGAAAATATGAAAGGTGGAAGATCAAGGAAATTACATAGGAAACTATGATCATAATGATAATATATCATTGTCATGTATGGTATAGTTAGTAAAAAGTAATTTAATCAATTGCATATCCTAACTTCATACTTTGTTTTGTTTTCAAAGAAGCAAAGCTTTTGTAGCCCTGTTAAGACAGATTCTTAGGTGAGGTTTTACGTAGTGGCACTAAATAGTTGTTCTTAGTAAAGCACTGGTAGCATGGATATAACTTTAATTATGATGTACTAGCCCAGGAGTGCACTCATACCTGTCAAACATTTGTGAATGTCAATTACTATTTATTTTATGGGAATTTTAACTCTAGATGTTAAAAGTTATCTTCTACTTTTAATTGTATATTCTGTTTGTTGACTGTATTTTTCAGGATTCATACATTGGAGCTTGGAACAAGATATTTATCTACTTTCTGGTAAGTCAGCTGTTTTAGAGAGTGAGTTCATAAAGTAATTATACAATAGTGTTCTTGGTCACTTAATATTTTAGAGACATTTTAGTGACTGTAATATAAAAACTGTACTGATTACTTTGTTATTGCATAATATCAGAACAGATAGCTTTTCTGTAAATTTGTTTCTCATAATAAAAAGACAGTCTCCAAAACTGTATACCTTTACTGAATCAGATGGTGATATTTTGTGGAGAGCACAATTACTCTCGACGTGACCTAGTTGAAAACCTGGATGTCCAACATGGTCCTCTTAAGACATGAGTCAGGTTATTAAGGTCACTCTGAAATTTCAGTCCTCAGCCTTGCCCTGTCGCGGTTACAGCTTGCAAGTTAGTTCAGGTGCCAAACTCAGCACAGCAAGAGCAAAAGGCGAAGCCTTGCGCTTTTTACATTTAAACCTAGCGCAGACTCAAGCATTGCGAAGTCTGCTCATCTTGGAACTAAGAAATGATTATAGTATTTATGCAGACTAACACATTTAACGTTGTTATTGCTCGGAGAATAACTCTGGATTCCTTTTTCCTTCTAGTGTCAGAATTAAAGACCTGCTATAGCAATGAAGAAAGAGACTGAATTCGTCATTTTCACCTAAAGAAAAAATGATAGACAGAAATCAAACCTGTGTGGCAGGACAGGATTCTGTGCCTTACATGACTTGTCTGGTTCACATGCTGGAAGAGTGGTTTGATGTGGAGCAGTTGGAGGACTATTTGAATTTTGTGAACTATCTCTTGTGGGTTTTTACACCACTGATACTTGTAATACTTCCTTACTTCACTATCTTTCTTCTCTACCTTACCATTATTTTCTTACATATTTATAAGAGGAAGAATGTATTAAAGGAAGCCTACTCTCACAATTTGTGGGATGGAGCCAGGAAAACAGTGGCAACTGTGTGGGATGGACATGCAGCAGTCTGGCATGGTAAGCCGCGAACGCTTTGCTCTCTGTATTTGTTGTCTGTATGTGGTGCTGAAGCTGTATTGCCGTTCTGCCTCACTGATTTCCAGTTTCACTGCACTGTGATCTGATCCTGTGCATGGGATAATGTTAATTCCTTTGCTTTCACGTAAGCATGTTCTGTGGGCTTGTATGTGGCCTGTTTTGGAGAATGCCTCCTGTGCTAACATTGCATTTTACTCATTGAGAAGATACTGAAAAATACAGTGAAAGTGAAGTAACTCCTGATTGTCAGCTTGTATGCATTGTGCGTTTGTGTATCTTTCTTAAAATTATTTTTTCCACATTATTTTCCATTAAATGAACCACACAGCTCTGAAGACCACTATTATGAGATAAAATAGGAAAATTAATATGTAAGCTATCTAGAAGAATAAAGAGACTTAATTAAAGCTATGTAGAAACTTCTTTAAAGACTTTAAATTATTTAGCATTTTCTTCTAGCTCTATTCAAAATAAATTCATTTTTCAGTGTAGAGATTTTTAAAGAATGAAATATTTACTAGTATTAAATATAAGTTGTATGCCAAAATTTGCTTACTTTTGTTTGATTTATCTTAGAGGTAAGTATGTCTTTCTGAGTAAATGTGTGGGCAATGAATTTCTCTCCAGGAAATTAGTTCTTTTATTATTTGAGACACTATACAGTTAATTATTGGGTCTTCATTGGGCTATCATGAAAATTGCCCTCTGGTGGCCTATTTTTAAGGGCTTGATATTTTTCTCTATAAGATTTTTTTGCTTTATTCAGCCAGTACCTTATTTACTGATTTATTTTTTTGAGAACTATACAACAGTACTTGAGATTAAACAGGCAGTGCCCTAGTCCACTTTTTGTTGATGTACAAGAATACCCAAGACTAGGTAATTTATAAAGGTAAATATTTGTTGAGCAGCATGGTGTTAGCTTCTGGTGAGGGCCTCACGCTGCTCCATGTATGGTGAAAAAGCACAGGGGCAAGCAGTACATGCAAAGAAGCAAAATGAGGGGTAGCCTTACCTTGTATCGCCTGCCCTGTAGGTAACTTACATAGTCTCCCAAGAGTGAAAACAGACTTACGCCTGGGAATGGCATCAATCTCTGTAAAAGGGCTCTGCGGCATCACCCAAACACCTCTCGACGTCCTTTCTAGCATGGCGACGCTGAGGAATTGAGTTTCAGCATGAGTTTGGGTGGGGATGAACCATAGCAACCTATAACACAGATGTGGCTTTCTTTGTCACGTTGTTGAGTGTTGAAGTAGTTTTACAGACAGGCATAGAAGCACAGACTTTGACGCAGACACTGGAGGGTGAGTATCACTGAGGGCTAAGGCTGCTGTTAGCAGAGTCACCAGGGACGTGCTTATTATGCCAATATGGTACCATCTTAATGTATGCACTCAGATACTCACAAATGTCCTTTGAGGACTTACTAGAGCAGACACTTGAGATACAGTGACTCCTTTGCGCTTGCTAATATGATAGATACATTTTATTCACTATTTCCATCTTACCCTTGTAGAAACTGAGCTCTAGGAGGTTTATTATCCAAGGCACACTAGGAAGCAGAGCCCAGATACAACATCTGACATCAAGCTCTGATGTTTACGTTCTGTGTCATGCAGTCAGTCTTTCCATGGTTGAGGATTCAGGGCCGAAAGTCATGGTATTCAACAGGTTTGTAAATAGGAACCATATCCCTTTGATGTCTTTTTTTTTTTTTTTTCCCTTTTTGGTAAAATTTTCTTTATTGGTACCTACTGATTTTATAACATTGGATTTCAATGTGGCGTCTTCATACGTGCGTGTAATATATTTTGATCATATCTGTTCCCCTATTGCCCTTTCTTTCACCCCTTCCACCTTCCTTTCTCTTATGTAATAACAGGCTGCCTTTTACGTTCATGTCATTTTCCCCCTCTCTTTTGGCAGTAAGCATGATTTCTTAAACTGTAGTTTGAAAAAAAAAAAATCCAGAATTATAGAAAAGTTACAAAAGTCGTGTCGAGTTCTTACGTTTCCCCCCACTTCTCCTAATGTTAACTATAATCATTGCACAGTTATTGAATTAGCAGTGGAACAGTGCACTCTGTGACATTACAGATGCTGCTCAGATTTTATTATTTTGCATCTGTGTTCTTTTTCCCAGAGTCTCTTACTGCATTTAGTTGTCATGTCTCCTGTAGGTTGGGGCAGTTTTCTTACGTTCTTTCATGACTTTGACACTTTTGAAGAATATTGGTCGGTGATGTCATAGACTGCTTCTCAATTTAGAGGTGGTATTTTCCATCGTAGAGTCAGGTTACGCCTTTTGGACAAGAATGCCGTAAGTGTTGTTCTCGGTGCATGATATCAGAAGGCTCATGATGCTACTATGTCTTTTACTCACGATGCTAGCTTTCATCACTTCCTTAAGAGGTCAGATAGCTCTGTTACAAGGTTACTAGGCTTTTGGGCTGGGGATGTGGGTCACTAGTAGAGCACTTGTTTAACATGTGTGAGGCCCTAAATCCATTATCTAGCACCTCATGACACACAAAAAGATACTATTTTTTTTTTTTTTACATTAATTGATACTTTGCAATTGGTTTTCCAGTAGTTTACTGGGAAAACTGCTTTAAAACTTTGTAAAGAGCCTCAAGTAAGATACTTCTGAATCTTCTATTTTCATGTTCTAGTTGGATTATTTTAAGGATTCAGTGAAATGTCATGCAGTGTTTAGCATAATTTCTAAAGTTTCAATAAATGTTACCTATCATAATTATGGAGCGTCATTCTCTGATCCTTCTGCCTCTTGATCATTATTAAGTTCAACTTAACATACTTACTGGGCCACTGATATTTAAAATGCACTTTTTCAAGCTGTCACAGTTTTTACTATTATTCCTAGTAAGAAAAGCATTTTTGCATCCAGTGTACATCTACATATTATCTACTGTTTCAGGAAAAGTGTATGTGTTTCTATATGTAATTTGCTTACTTTATATTCTACTCTTTTATTTTAAAAAATGCTTTTCAAAACTCACTAAAATGATTTCATCTGAGCCGGGCATGGTGGTGCCTGCCTGTAATCCCAGCACTCGGGAGGCTGAGGCAGGAGGATTGTTGTGAGTTCGAGACCAGCCTGGACTACAAAGTGAGCTCAAGGTCAGCCTGAACGGCATAGCGAGACCCTGTCTCAAAAAGCCAAACAAAGAGGTTTCGTGATTGACTAAGTTGATTTCACAACTCATTAGTAAATAGCAACTAGTATTTAAAAACCATGGATCTATGTGAACACGTACTTAGCTGTGGCATGATGCAGGGACACGGATTTGGCAAACGCAGGTTTGCATCCCGGCCCCACTGTGTGACCTTGGGGAAACGAGGGGGCCTTTTGACACTTAGGACTCCTTGTCTGTGGAGGACTTTTTGTGTTTTGTGGTGATTGAGTCCAGTATAGTTTTTGGCATATAGATGCTCACTAAATATGAAATAAATTCTCTTCTTACAGGACAAAAATAAAAGCAGTATTCACAAATAAGACAGCTTTTAAACAAGGCTTTTAACATGTTGGTGACAGGCCTGTAATTTATATGTAATTCGCTGCCGGGTGGCTTGAAGCCGTCCCATTCATGACTGTACCATTTCAACCACCAGAGGCACAAACCACTTGATAGGACAGTCGTGTGTACTGCTGGTGGCACAATCTAGTGGGAAAATGTTAAAATCCAATAAGAAAAAAATAAGTATTTGCTGCTACTGTATTTACAGACTAGTGGAGATGGCGAATGTTAAAGGAAGACAGTGATTGAAGTTAGTTCAAAATGAAGACAGAAAGACACAGGTAATTGTAAAGTAAAGGGGAACTTTATCCAAGCTTGTCGTTTCCCTTCACAAAGCACGTAAGCCCATGAGTTCTACCAGACTTCTAAGTAGCAAATGATACACAATTTAAACTGTTCTAGGGTGAAGAAAAAAATGTGGCATTCCATAGTATATTGCACAAGGCTGGTATAACTTTGCTGTCAAAACTAAGGAGAAAACACACAAAAAGGAGGTTTGTAATCAGTTTTATAGAAAATAGTTTTATAAAATCTAATACTAAAAAAAAAATTAATGGTAAGGACTTAAAAGTGAAAGGTATTTTTCAAAGACATAATAAGATAAATGGTGGGCCAGGTCAGCTCAACTCGTTTACAACTTGCCTTAGAAAATAAATTAGTAAGAAAAAAGTCTAACTTAAAGATGGCCTAAGGATTTGATCAGGAAATATAAATGGCTAATAAATGTGCAAAGCCCCCTAGTAATTACGGAAATGCAAATTAAAGTGTCATTGAGATATCATTTTTACCCAAAAGATTGATAAAACTTAAGCTGTGGCGCTAAAAAATGAGAATATGATGAAATGAAAATTGTCATTCAAAGCATGTGGATAGGCAATATAATAAACCAGTTGGGAAAGGGAGCCCAGTTTATTACCAGTAAATTTAAAATGGGACTATCAAAACGGCAACAGTTGCGCTTATTAGTATCTGTTCTAGTGATACATGTTTGGTGCACAAGGATACATATAGGTGGATATTTACTGCAGCAATACTTGTAAAAATTTGGAGTAATCCAGTTGTCCCTGAATAGCTAATTCACTTATGGTTGAATGAACTTTGATATGAACTTGTTATGGAATGCTTTATAACACTAAAAAGAGTAAAGTTACTTCTTGTGCCTATCATGGATAGATTCCCCAAAGACATTATTGTACAGAAAAGATTCATAATTATACTCACAATAACTCACTAGTTGTATTAAATGCACATTAGCAAATAAAATGTGTGGTATATTCAGAACTAGAAGGTGAATCGTTTGTGGGTAAGTGGGATGCTGAGAGGTGAACTTGAAGAAATACTAAGAGTAGCTGGGTTTTGGAGGAGCTTCAGTCCTGTGCTCAGGAGTTTGGACTTTTAGTAGGCAGTTTAGTTCTACTTGTTTTCCTGAGAAGAATC